CGAATAAATTTTCTAAAAAATGGTTCATTTTCTTCAAAGCATCTTGTTAAATTTCTTAATTTTTTATGAACGAATTATACAACAGATAAGGCTGAACAGTCATATTTTAGTTCCCTGAGTGATAGGATTAGGAGGAATAGACCCTGGTTGGACTAGATGATATGGGAGGGAATATTTTCTCTTAGATATCTTTAAAATAGTTGCAAAACAATTTATAAATTAATACTCTTTAAAACTTCTTCAGGAATTTTGTAATTTCCTATTATTTTTTACAGCATTAATGCTTAATTTTTTATTTTATAAACTTGTTTATATTTTTAATTAAAAAATTAAATAAATTTTAATAGAGTTTGTCATTAATGTTGAAAAAGAAGTTCACTCGGGGTGAAATAATCTAAGTTGAACACATAGAAGTTGAAATTGGAGAGAAGATTGGTAATGGAGGAGAAGGTGTTGTTTATCAAGTGAAAAAAACAACAGATGAAAGTTTTTTTGCTTTAAAATGGTAAGAAGAAATGAGCGAACATGAAAAAAAGATATTGAATATTCTTAAAAGGGAAAAATAAGAATATCTAATTGAAGTGGTAGCTTTTACCGAACAATTTATATTAATGGAACTTGGAAGTAATAATTTACAAAGCATGCCTGATAAAAGAGAGACATGTTTGCAAGTACACATCTTGAAATATTTTAGATGGCTAAAGGTGTTTTTTAATTACATTAATTGGGATTTTTCCATCGAGATCTAAAACCAACCAATTATGTCATTGGAAAAGATAATAAAATAAAATTGGTAAATTTTGGAATCGCCAAAACTATTGCATAATAAACTCAAACCTAAGGAATAGGAACAAAGATATATATGGCACCAGAAGTTTTAAAAAATGACAATTATGATTCTTCTGTTGACATTTGGTCGTTGGGTCTGATCTTTTGTGAAATATTGACTAATCAAAGATTCTTCGAAATATAGACATAGTACTAGCTAAATCAAATGATTGGAATATAGTAATAATAGATAAATTCAAAAATCAATGCATTGGACAATTTAGAATTGTGGTAGAAAGAATTATTAACAAAAATGATTATTTAAAGGTTAGATAATTAATAGAAAATAAATGAATCAATAAAAAGAATAACTATTGATGAAGTAATTAAGGAGCTAGAGTAATTTGAAAGAAAGGAAGATTTATATGAGATTTTAACTTCCTTAAAAGACATTGATGGCTAAATATACAGTGTGATTATATAATTGCTCAAAAATCAAAAAAGTTCAGATATTTTAGAATTTCTTTCAAAGTAGGAAAATTAAAAGCATTTAGCATCTTTAGGATAAAATAACATTAACATAATAAGAAATGCTATTATCAATATTAGTCAACACATATTTAAAAAGAACGATTACTAGCATTAAACTTACTAATAAATTAGACAAAAGGTGATTAATAATTTATCAATATAGGAGAATATAGTCTACTTTTTGAAATTTTTAGTTCACCTTACAGCTATTGACAAACGACTCATCTAAAGTGGATCCAATTCTCTGAACTTATTGGTTGAAATGAAGGCAGATTTAAGTAATTAGAGCTGGGAAGATATTAGAATTTAGGATACCTCTTTAATAGGTGGAACTTTTGTCAGATGCAACT